GAGAGAGAGAGAGAGAGAGAGAGAGAGAGAGAGAGAGAGAGAGAGAGTTCATTGTACCTGGCAGATATAAGCTGAAGGGGAAAAGGGTTTTCTTGGTGTCTTGTTTTCCATCCATCACAGTGAGGAAGGCTCGGAGAAGCAGCGGCTGGGATTGTGGGGGTAGGGAGTGTGCAGCAGTGACTCCGCCTAGGACCACAGAGCAGCAAGCAGAGAAAACGTGATGGAAACTAGAGGCCAGTGCACACCTGCAGCGTCCCTTCCCTTGTCACTACTTCCACTTGCCAGGCCTCCCTTGCTAGAAGTTCCAAGGCTATCCAACAGTGCCAGCTATGTAACAAGAATTTAGAACATGGCCTCTGAGGGAGATTTCAGATTTAAATCAAAATTGAGAAGTCTTGCAGTCATTGCGGGAAAAGCTGAAGGAATAATAGGGAATGAATGAGAGAAAATTTTTTTCTCTAATGTCAAAGTTAAACAAGAAGGAAGAAATCTGGCCAAGAAGAGTCACTTATAGCCCCTCTATCTGTGTGACTCACCCCCATAAAAAAACAAAATCAAAACAAAATAACAACAAAAAGCCCAGCCACTCTTTAAGGAAGGATTGGTCATACAGCAGATCTTGGGTAAAGCTGCTGGTGAAGAGGATGTAGAACTGTTTGCTTTCTCTCTAAACACATCAACCACACCTTATCTCTTCCTTTTCATTCTGTCTTTGAGGACAAATGCAGTGTTGTACTTTGAAGTCATGAGGCAGCAAACTCTAGGACAAAACTCCTATCTGTCATAGTTACCAGAATTAGAAAGAGCAGATTGGGTCTCTACATAGTTGACAGAAAAACCAAGGTCAAGGGCTACCTTGCAAGCCCCTGTTGTAACATGTTCCAATGCTTAGGACACTATTATTTGGGTTTGCTTTTTATCAAAGAGAAATGTGTGCCCATCTGATGTAGGAAACTATGTTAGCTGACATTCAAACAGTTCCTACACTGCCCTCTAAATCAAAGTGAATTCTACATAGATTTCAGTCCTCCAAGTGATGTTTCTATCATCAGACCTCTGCAATCTTAGCTCCCTAATAGTTGTTGGCTAGGAGCATAGCTTACCTTGTGTGCTGTTACTCTGTCTTAAATTCAAAGTGGATCCAAAGCTCCAGGATCTTGGAAGGCCAAGATTTTCTGATCACCCCTTTCACTTGTAACACCCTTAAGTCTGCTCAGCATATGTGAAATCTAAGTGTCCTCAGTCTCCAAGGCAACGGTTCTGCTATCCCTGGTTCAACCAAGGGAGAAAGAGAAAGCCAGTGCCCTCTCACCATCTCCCTGATTCTGTTCTCATGGCTCAGCTAAGAAGAACCCAAGGGCAGCTCAACACAGCGTACCGCAGGCATCACAGCGTACCGCATGCATCACAGCAGACAAGCTCCAGCAAGTTTCAGTTCAATCCCCAGTCAGCAATGAGCTTTTACTTTTGCATAATCAGAAGTCTCCTGGGGCTGGTGCTGCTTGGTGGTGGAGCACTTATCTAGCATGTGTTCAAACAGTAGTTCCTTTGAAGAACTAACTTACTTAGAAGTCCTGTGTGTGTGTGTGTGTGTGTGTGTGTGTGTGTAATATATATATTATATACTACCATGAACAAAAACAACAGCAAACCTAGCTAGACAATTAACAATGGTATTTTTGCCTCTGCTTCTGTAAATGAATAACTCAGTCACTGAGACATACCATCATTTATGATGTTTTGTAAAAAATCTTTTGTGTTTGACTCTCTCATTGCATGTTGTGTGTGTGTGTGTGTGTGTGTGTGTGTGTGTGTGTGCCACAGCATGTACATGACAGCCTAAATACAAACTTGGTGTTCGTCCTCTCCTTCCAGCTTGCCTATGACTGCATCTCTTAATGTTCTCTGCTACAACCACCAGCTAAAGCTTCCAGACTCTCCTGTTTGGCTCCCTTCTCCCTTGGGTGCAATGGGATAGCAAGTGTGTGCTCTAAAAGGTCTGGAGCTTATGAGGTGCTGGAGATTCAAACTTAGGTCATCAGGTTTGTATGGCAAACGCTTTACCCACTGCTCCATCTTCCCAGTCCTCTTGACATAGTCAATGTATATTTAACAAGCCTGTCTTCATTATTAATGCAATTTGTTTGATGGGTCATGAGTGTGTAAATTGGCAATATTTTGGAAAATCCTTTGTGTGTGTGTGTGTCATAAGAAATTGACAAACTAAAGAGAATAAATTTTTTTAATTATTTGGGTGCAAAATTATTCCAGGTTTTTTTACATCTATGATTAAAACTTTGTATTTTAAAAGTCTTCAATCCTGTAACCATATTTTTATTTATTGCTAAACTATCTGTCATTAGATGTTGTGACAACCTACTCTAAGATAATGTCAAGAAGTTTTATTGTACAGAAACATGAGTTATATAAAAACTCTCAACTGTTAATAGACTTAAATGTTTTTATTTTCAACATAAATATTTCCATAAGGAATATTTCTATTAATTAACCATTGAACATGCCTTAGAGACATTTAAAATATTTTTTAGGTTTATAACTTATTTAAATCTGGAATTAACCAGAATAAATGTATTTTATTTTCAACACACATATCAATAACATGTTACTTTATCCAAAATTGCGCCCCTTTACTGAAGCCATCAATCTGATTTATTCCAGATGTCAAATGTTCTTGATGTCTGTGTTCTTGCAAGTTTGAAATTTCAGGTTAAACTTGATGCAAAAAACCAGTTTTGCTTTAGGTAAAGCCATTCTAATATGCCTAAGTTATTCTTTTTGTTATGTAAATGACACAATAATTTATTTGAGAGCCAGTAATAGACACATGTCAGGTTAAAATCAGAAGTAAACATGCTGACACGTGTCTACAACCCCAGTAGGAGGCTACAACAGAAAGACTGTGGATTCAGCCAGCCTGAACTATGTAGTGAGGTTCTGTCAAGAAGAAGAAAGGGAAGAAGGGAGAGAAATGGAAGAGAAAGAGGAAGGGAGATCAGGGAAAAGAGAGGGAGGGAGAGGGGAGGAAAAAAGAACAAGAATGGAAAGGGGACAAGAAGACAAAAGGAAGAAAACTGAAACTTGTTCTAAGGAAAATATGGATTTCATTCTCTCTTAAGTTCTCCTCTAGAAATAAAGTAAAGGAAAGTCTTCCTAATTTATCATCTTACACTCCTCCATTGCTGGTGGGAGCACAGACTACTACAGCCACTTTGGATATCAGTATGGTGATTTCTAAGAGAATTAGAAAACAACCTACTGTGAGACACAGCACCCAAAGGATGCTGAATCGTACCACAAGGACATGCACTCAACTATGTTCATAGCAGCACTATTTGTCATAGCCAGAATGTGGAAACAACCTAAATGCCCCTTGACCTAAGAATGAATAAAGAAAATTTGATACATTTACACAATGGAGTACTACACAGTGGAAAAAAATAATGACATTTTGAAATTTGCAGGCAAATGGATGGATCTAGAAAACATCATACTGAGTGAGATAACCCAGAACCAGAAAGACAAATAAAATACATACTCACTCATAAGTGGCTTTTAGACATAAAGCAGAGACAAAACCAATTCCAGAGAACTTAGATAACAGAGAGTACCCTAAGAGAGACATATATGGATCTAATCTACATGGGAAGTAGAAAAAGACAAGATCTTCTGAGTAAATTTGGGAGTGTGGGGCTTAAGGGACAGGGTAGAAAAGGAGAGAGGAGGAAAGAAGGGAAGCAGAGAAAAATATATAGCTCAATAAAAACAATTTTAAAAATGAAAAAAAAGAGAAAATTCTGAATTCAACATGCCTAAGTTATTCTTTAGTGCCCAGGGCACCATGAGTCTTCAATATCAGATGACCACATGCTGGCCTTAGTGCTGGCCTATGAGAGCCTGTCTCAAGTAAATAAATAAAGGAACAAACTAGAGAGAACTAATTAAAATTTAGGGAGAAGATTGTGAGTCTGTGCAGACACTGCTTTCCTTCTGAAGTTTCTCTACAACATTTAAGCTATGATACTTTTTAATTGTTTTACATGTGTTGATGATAAATATTTTTTGTTTATGATGGCAGATCTCATAAAGATGTTTGCACACAAGTGCACCTTGTCCTTTGACCATGTTGATTCATGCATCTTCTTCCCATGCTAGTCCCCTTGATTCCCCCAGGCAGCCTCACTTCTACTACTCCCCTTTGTGTGTGTGTGTGTGTGTGTGTGTGTGTGTGTGTCTTCTTGTACATGTATATGCATGTGCATGTCGAGGCCAGGGAATAATATAGATTGTTCCTTAGTTGCCACCCACCTTAGTTGGTGTTGATTTTGTTGCTGTTTTAGTTTTGTGTTTTTTTGTTTTTGTTTTGAGATGGGGACTCTCTCTTTGGTCAGGTGCCAGCTTGTCTGTACTGATGTACAAATGTCACTGCTGGAATTAGAAGCCTGCACCACCATGCCTGGTTCTTTGTTTTTGGTTTTGGTTTTTGGTTTGGCTTGTTTGTTTGAATTTTTTATTTGTTTGTTTTATGTGGGTTCTAGATCATTGACCTCAAGTCTTCATGTTTGTATGGCAAACATACAAAGGACTGATTTAGCTTCCCAGTTTAATATTTGTTTTTATGAGCATGATTTATTTTAATTAATGTGATCTTCAGTTGTGCTTGTTTACCTAAACGTGGTATATGATTCTTTGCAGGCTTACTCTGTGTGTATTCTTTTTCCACTCAACTGTTGACGAGCACCAAACTGACTTCATACTTGCTTATTGCCAATAGGGTTGCTGTGAAGACAGACATACAAGTATCAGTGTACTATATTGACTTAGAATCCTTTGAGTATAATCCCAAGAGGAATACAGCTGCATTTTATGATGGTTCTATTTCAGCTTTTTGAGGAACCTCCATATTGGTTAGTTTACATTACATCTATTACGAGATTCTCTTTTGGTTTTTAATATCTCTTCTTACTGATAGCCATTATATCCAGAATGAGTTGAAATATCAATGTAACTCAATTAGCATTTCCCTTATAACTAATACCAAACATTTTCCCTATGTATATTGACCATTTATATTTCATCTTTTGAGAACAATCTCTTCATTTTATTAGCTCATTGATTGATTGATTGAAGTAATTTTTTGCTAATTAGGGTTTGCATTTTTATTTTATTTATTTATTGTGTGTGCACTCAGGCATGCATGTGTGTGTATCTGCACATGAGTTTGTATGTATGTGTGCATGTGTGACTGTATGTGCACATGTGTGTACCAGCATGCTTGTGGAAGTCAGATGACAGCTTTCAGGAGACAGTTTTCCCTTTTCACTGTGTGGGTTTTGTAGATTTCACTCAGGCCATGCAGCTTGGTGAGCAGTATCTTTACCCACTGAGCCATAGAGTCAGTCCTGATGTGTAGGTTTGAAGTTTGTTATGTATTCTAGACAGTAATCCTCTGTCAGATGCACAGCTAGCAAAGATTTCTCTCTGTAGTTCTGTAGGCCCTCTCTTTTCTTGTTTGTTGCCTTGCTGTGCAGAAGATTTTTGATTTCTTATAATCCCATTTATCAGTTTTTAGTTTTATTTCCTCAGTGATTAGAACCCTTTTCAGAGAGCCACAGCCAATGCATTACCATGAAATGTTTTGTCTGTGTTTTCTTCCAATTATTTCACATCTTACATTAAGGTCTTTGGTCCAGATGGAACTAATTTTTGTACAGAGTGGGAAATAGAGATTATTGTGACCAATCACACAAAATACAAAATACAATGTTTTTGTAATTATTATGACTTGTTTCCTATCCTAAAATGTGCTCTATTTTAGAGACTAGTCTAGGGATTGGGATTGCCTAGAAGAATGCATATTCTAGGTGTTTGGGAAGAATAGTCTGTAGGTATCTGTTAAATTCAATTGGCCTAACTGACATCTAATTCTGATTTATTGTTGTTGCTGTTGTTCATTTCTGGCCTGGATAACATGTCTACTAATGAGAATGGAATATTGATGTTACCTACTATTGTATTAAGATCATCTTGAGCTTTAATATCCAGCAGTATTTATTTTATGGAATTGGATGTATCAATGTCCAGAGCATATGTATTTAGAACTGTTAAATCCACTGGTATTTGTGCCCTTAGTCAATATGAAGTGAACTTTATCTCACTAGATTTTTGGTTGAAATGTACTTTTTCTAATTTCATTCTCCAAAGTTTTGATGTTACAACACTCATGGTTGCTCATGTTCACCCTTATAGAAGAATATACTTGTTCTAGTGGGATGGAGCAGCCTCAGTACCAGAGTCTGCAGTCTTGTTGTGAATATGCATGTACCACTGAGATTCAGTTCTGCTTAGCGCTCATGAGGTACCACATG